TTTTTTTTTTTTTTTTTTTTTTTTTTTTTTTTTTTTTTTTTTTTTAATGCTGAAAGTCTGTATCTTGACAATTTTAATAAATCAGCTGGAACTGATAGAAACTCGTATCGCTATTAGTGTCTGTAGAATAACGCTGGAGATGCCGTGATGTCACCCCTCGCCTTGGAGGAGCGGTAGCTGCAGGCTGTTGTGCATGACCCTAGCTAGGGGGAAGGAAAGAAGGACTAGGTGCCTTCAGCATTTTTTTCCCCGACCCCTTTCCCTCCGCGCTCCCATCGGGCAGGGCCGGGATGTGCCGGTGCGGAGCGGCCGTGGGTTCGCCCCGCTCCGTGCCGGCTCCCCACCGCTGTCCAGGGAGCGGCCCGGCCCTCCCCGCATCCTATTGCCGGGGGCACGGCGGGGCCCGCTCCCCACCCCAGGGCGGCTCCCCCTTTCCGTGTTGTTTTTTTTTCCCCTTCTCCCCGTTTTGCTGAGCCGTGCCGCGGGGATGCTTCGTGCCCGCATCTCTGTCTTCGGGCAGAGCTCAGCCCGTGGAGCCCCTCCGGAGGGGCGTGGGAAATAAAGGGGGTACGAGCTTCTGCTGTAGGCGAGCAGACTTCGGCAGTGTGCGCTTCTGGAGATCTTTTTTTAATTTTATTTTTTTTTTTCCTTAGGAGCCATCAGATTTCAATTGCCCTTTCTGATGGCAGCAAACAGATTCACGAGGTGGAAGTTTGTTTCTTGAGTAGTTTACTTTTTATCTGATAGGCATTGCTATTTTTTTTTTTTTTTCTCCACTTATTACTGATCCAGCTGTTTACAGGGACAATTCACTGTGCTGGTATTTTGGTGGCAACCACTGCTACAGGCTTTCAGACTTGCTGAAATGAAAATCCTGCATACACATTTGTAAGGCATAATAAAACATAACATTGAAACCTGCATGCATGTTATGTTTAATCAAGGACAACTCTTAGGCATTTAAGTGGTGAGATATCTTACTTTAGGTTAGTTAAATGAACTGGTAGTAAAATGATTAATATAATCTGATCTTTCTAATAATAATAATAAAACACTCATGATTCTAAATAAAAGTTGTTTGGCCTAAATCTTTGCTATCAGAAAAAAAAAAAAAAAAGATATAGCATATCTGGGAACTCAAATTTATGTCTTGCATTGTGATAATTCTTTATGAGAAACTGTGTTTTAAAACAAACAAAATTACAATATTCAAGATATCCTTGGCAATGGATAGTCCTCAATAAAACAGAGTTTCTTGAATTTTCAGTTTTTGGTCTCAACTGATTAGTGTGTTCTCCATGTAATTAACTTAGAAATCAGATTGAAAACAAATGACATTTATCTCTTCTAAGGCAAAAGAGTGAAAGAAAATAGATGCGCTGAAGTGCTGTAACCTAGCCATTCACTACCCTGCTATTAAAGACCCCTTCTCGGGCTAGGGCGATGGAGTAAGTTGATCAGGTTCTAAGTCTTAATACTGAGCCAAAATTCTCTTAGTAATTCTTCTAGCTATCATGAGAACGTGGGGACTTTCTCTTCTGGCCCCTTTCTTCTGATATGCATCCTTGTTTGTTAAAGTAATAATAGGCAGTGTCATTAAGCATTTGTGCTTTACAGATGTTCAATGAGTTATGAATGATTATGGTCAAATATGGGCTGGATTTGGTTTGCATTGTAATAAGGTCTGTGTCTCAGCCTGCAGGAGTTTTGACTTGCATATATTTTTGGAAGATGTTTTTTTAAAACTACCATTTAAGATATTAGTCAATGATAACTAATGTAAAGGGTCCAAGTGTAGAGCAATCAGGCATATTTTAAAAGAGCAACGGGTCTACTTTAGTCAAAAAGTGTAACACCCACACAGAAGTATATCCTTTCTTCTGGTTGGGAATGATACAGTTCTATATCACAGGAATATTTTGAGTGAAGGTGTATAGTGCAGGGAGATACTTTTCGTCTGGACAGTTTGACTTTCATTTACTGCGGAGTTTATTGTTGCCTATTGCTCAAGAACAATTTGGTGGTGGTGTTTTTAAGCCACCACGCTGTTAGGGCTGAATTGTGATGCTGTTGGATGCCTAAGCTCCTGCTGATTTCAATGAGAGTAAGATACAATCTTCTAATCAGGAAAAATAGCATCTGCTATTACTCTCATATTTTTGCTTTTGTCATTTCTAATAATATTCCTATCTCCAGCTCCTATTCCATTTTTAGTGCACATAGAAATCTTTGTTGACCTGCTAGAGCAGTCCTGTTGCGGGCTTAGTATCTCCCGTGGCATTTTTTGTCCACATTTTTTTGCATTTGTCTCCATACGATGCTATTCTAAGTGTACTAAGACTTAGTGGTAAGGAGAGAGAAGTGAGGTGTGGTTTTGGTTTTTTAGTGTGGAAAAACAGTTTGCTTTGTAACAGTAAGGATGTCAACTCAGTGTAAAACTTAATCCAATATGGTGATTCTTTTTAATTTCACTATGAGCATTTGTGTTACCATTTTCCCCCTTTGGTTGTTTTACTCCCTCCCTCTCTCTTTTACAAGAAATACACTTATGAAATACTTTCAATCCTTGAGGTGCAGTCTTTTATAAACGTGGTAGGAAGACTCATCCCAACCATCCTTTAGGTGCTACATGCTCTCTAGTTATTCACTGTCATTTAGATTAAACTTCTCCAAGTCTATTGAATGTGATTTGCATGCTTGCAGTCTGATCCTTCACTCATGCCTGTTTTAGGAAAGTGCAACTCTGGTGTTACAGTGAGGTACAACTGATGTGGGGTCAAAGTCAGGGCCTTATATGCTTTAAGTGTTTTGATATTCAACACAGCTCATTAAGTTACTTTATACAACTTCACAGTTGCTGCCTAGTAAGGCCTTAAACCTGCACTGTTGTTTTTTTTTTTTTTTTTTTTTTTTTTTTAATTCTCATTGAGCTTAATGGGAGTTTTTGCCTCAAGGGCTGCTGGCAGGATAGGTGTCTTAGTCTTCATAGCCTTCATTCGTATGCATGGCCAGAACAACAACAACAAAAAAAAAAAAGGAAAAAAAAAACAAAAAACAAAAAACAAAACAACAAAAAACAAAACAAAAACATAAAACCAACGAAGACTTAATTCAATGAGTTGCCTTACATTCCCCCTCCTGTACGGTTGTATTCCTTTGGTTTGGTTCCTTCTCCCTCACCCACATCGAAGGCTGTGATTGTTTTTGTTTTTCTTAATTTTTTTGCACACTACCTATACCAATTAACTGCCTAATTAGTTTTATCTTCTCTACATGGATGCAGTGAATTTGTAAGAGAATTTCACAAGCAAGTAGTTTTTTAGTGAGTTTAAAGTAAATAGAGTTTTAAAGACCTATTTTTATATTCAATATAAAGCACAAATGTGCAGAAAGTGTAGAATGACTTACAAAAAGGGAAACAAAAGTTCGTAATATTTCATGTATAAAAGTAATACCTTCTTTGGGTTGGGATTCTCTTAGAAAACCCAATACTTATGCCAGTGCAAAGATAGGAATATTTTAAAAACTCTTAGAAAATTGTGATTGACAGCAATTTCAAAGGAATGACTTCTGTAGATATGAGGAAACCCCTAAAGCAATATGGATAAGAAGGGGTGAATGGTTTTCAATGATGAACAACAACCTGGAAGTGTGAGAATGGAGGTTTCAATCCTTATTAAT